TTAAGGGGGCCGGGGGGGCCTTCATCAAAATTTTCTCGAAATTGACTTTATAGTTGTTTCTAATAGAGGGGAGTGATATCTATCAGATGCTTTTGGTCCCATGGAAAAATATTGTTCCTAGACGAAATTATTATCGGTCAAATGTCAGCGCTTATGTGTAATTGTATTGCGCGAGCGATTTTCAATTTTTGAAAATCTTGGACCTCAAAAAATCGTCAAAAAACGAGGTTCAAGATGTTCAAAATCGAATAAAATATGTTTAAAGGCCTATCTCAAAATTCTGTTTGGCTCATCTCTTTTAAATTATCTCTAGAACATATCCTGAAAGTTTCAGGGTGATTGCTCAAAACATGTAGGAGAAAATAGATTTTTAGACTCGATTTTCAGGACACGTGATTGAAATTCGCTCGCGCAATACAATTACACATAAGTGCTGATCTTTGACCGACAATAATTTCGGCTAGGAATAATATTTTTCCATGGGACCAAAAGCATCTGATAGATATCACTCCCTTCTATCAGAAACAACTAAAAAGTCAATTTCGAGGGAATTTTGATGAAGACCCCCCGGCCCCCTTAATTGGTTGATTGATCCACTGATTGGGTCCACAGTTAGCCCAGTTATACAGAGTAGGTAGGTGGGCGTAAATGTACGAATGTTTCCCAGCTCAAAAATTTGTGTTCAAGCAGGCCACTGAATTTTCTGTAAAGTAAAGTATTATTTATATTATATTTTCGAAAAGTCAATTTTTAACCATTTTAAACCATTTTTATAGATTTCTTTAATGAAATTCTGACCAGAACCAATCTATTATCACTTTTAAATAACTTTTATTCTGTTTGACAATCGTTACTTGTTGTGTTTTACTACTATTACTGAATAAAAAGCATATGTGTAAATTACTTGACTCGTAAATTACTTGACATGTAACTTACTTGACGCTGGTATTGACATGATCTGATATCTATGGATCTAAATAAACAAGTACATTATGTCTTGACATCAGAGTTAGCTTGTTTTAGCAAGATTTCAGCAAGAAATAACATGAAATGTGGCCAGCAGAAAACTTTTTTGTTTTTTATGTATAGTAATTTACACTAAAAACAGGAGAAAGTAGAATAGCATTGCTCCGAATCTGCTTAAATTTTGAGTCCCAAATTTTGCATACAGCTTCAGTGAAGTGGTATGCACCTTTACAGATCAAGAATTAATGAATATTACAACAACCTCTTTTTAGTAAACAGCTTTTATTATAGAGTAGTTTTAGCCTGTAAAACATGACAATTTATGGGTATTTTGAAAACGCGATAACACAGAAACGAAGTGAGATATTTATAAGCGGTTTTTTGTGTCTAACAGTTTATAATCTTCTCTTTCAGACTCCAATTAAAGCTAGTGCCATAACTGAAATTTATTTTTTTCCCTCCTTGTTCATGTTTCATGAAATTGCCCATATAATAATAAATGATTGTAATATTTTTATTGAGGCACATGCCACCCCATCGCGGGTTTACTACTACAAATTAATTAAACATTTGAAATCTGTTAACCAGAGAATAAATTTCTAAACCTAATGCAAGTGAAATAATTTAGATGCAATAATGAATGCCTAATGCGAGTATCATCTGTCAATGTCCTTGTAAAACAGTCTGTACAAGAGATATGAGTAACTAATATAGAAGAAAAAAACAGGAAGTTGTCGTCTGTTGAAAAATAAATAAAATATCTAGAATATAGATTAGAATATAAAATAACATTCAGTCAATGTGTCGTCAATAAACTGTACAATTATCAAATGTTAAAACTGGGTGATACAGTCACCAAAAATAAATACTAAGTATAATAAGTTAATAAATTAAATGTGGTCTATAAAACTACCACTAGGTATAATAGGTCAATAAATTAAAAGTGGTTTATAAAACCCCAGTGACATAAATTTAAAAAGGGACTAGGAATCCAGTCTGGAAAGAAAAAACGGCTACCATATATTTTTAAAACGACTACCATAAATTTTTCGGCCGCTCCGCGGCCGGATAATGATTTCATTTTACGTTGCTAGTTATATTACAGAGGTTTAGTTATTCATTAGTATAGTTATTAATTCATTAGTATAGTTATTCATAATTGCCAAAAGATTGTGAAAGGATTCCTTTCCGGGTCTCGAACTCGCGATCTGCTAATGTAGTAACGACGGATTAACCAACTAGGCTACGATTTCATGTACGCTTTTGTAATATTTACATATATAGGTATTCGCGCGTTCCTGCAACTACCATACTACCATACTACCAAACAGTCCATACTACCATACTGGTAGTAGGAAAATCTTGGATCCTGACAGAAATATCTTGGATTATTTGGTAACGCGCAAGTTAAGCGCAAGAACTAGGATCCTGACAGGAATCTGGCATTTTCGCTCGATTCGAACATCTTCTTGGATAAATATAGAATTAAGGGGGCCGGGGGGGGTCTTCATCAAAATTCTCTCGAAATTGACTTTATAGTTGTTTCTGGTAGAAGGGAGTGATATCTACCAGCTGCTTTTGGTCCCATGGAAAAATATTGTTCCTAGCCGAAATTATCGCCGGTCTAAGGTCAGCGCTTATGTGTAATTGTATTGCGCGAGCGATTTTCAATCGCAAATTCTGAAAATCGAGTCTAAAAATCTATCTTCTCCTACATTTTTTGAGCAATTACCCTGAAACTTTCAGGATATGTTCTAAGGACCATTTAGAAGAGATCGTTCAAGCCAAAATTTTGAGATAGGCCTTTAAAAAATTTTTATTTAATTTTGAAAATCTTGGACCTCGTTTTTTAAAGATTTTTTCAGGTCCAAGATTTTCAAAAATTAATAAAATTTTTTTAAAGGCCTATCTCAAAATTTTGGCTTGAACGATCTCTTCTAAATGGTCCTTAGAACATATCCTGAAAGTTTCAGGGTGATTGCTCATAAAATGTAGGAGAAGATAGATTTTTAGACTCGATTTTCAGAATTTGCGATTGAAAATCGCTCGCGCAATACAATTACACATAAGCGCTGACCTTAAACCGGCGATAATTTCGGCTAGGAACAATATTTTTCCATGGGATCAAAAGCAGCTGGTAGATATCACTCCCTTCTACCAGAAACAACTATAAAGTCAATTTCGAGAGAATTTTGATGAGGACCCCCCCCGGCCCCCTTAAAGTACAGTGCGCGGCGTTACAGTGTGTAACAACCGAGAGCGACTATTTTAAAGTTGATTTAATAATTTTGTTGACAAAAATTAGTCGGCGTGGCTATGGAAATTAATATGGCTAGGAATTAGATTCTTAGATTCCTCACTTTATGTCACTGGGTATAAAACTACCACTGTGCGAACCCCTTCTCCAGTTAAAACATATCAGTCATGTGAAAAATCAATCAGAATGGTAAGGTGGTAAAAAAGGGAATATCCTTTCGATACATCAATTATATATGCCTCAGATTTAAAATAATTAGAAGATACTTAGTTATCGTCGACTATGATTGCAGTGTAAAATTTGTCATATGAATTGTCGACGGTATAATTAGGGTCTGTTGAACTATAGATGAGAGTAGCTGTTTCTTATACGAATCACTAAAGCTTTTAACATCGGGCAGATTTCGTAGATCTGTTGGAACATTATTCCAACATTTTGCCCCCAAGTATTGAAAGTTTTTATGTGATGTTGATCTACTGATATCTGGATATTATCCGGTTGGAAGAGACAAGGACAAGTGAAACAAGGAAGTTAGGAGTAAGGGCAAATTTTCGGCGTCAACGCCATCTTCAGGCTAAAATTGTTATAAATGTTAGTATATAATAAATGCTTCTATACTAGTTAAAATGCTAAATTAAAATTACACACACTGAATACAGGTTACATCAAATGGTATTGTACATTACATTGAAAATAGTTTCACGATAACATAGAACCAGATATTTCCTTCGATATTTTAGAAATTAACTTATATAGCACCATTAAACGTAAAGTGACAGAAGCTTACTACATTAATTTATTTAAACCTAGTATCAATAACAAAGAAGAGTGCGAGAAGCTTAAGGGATTTCTTTTACAACATATTCAAAGACAAATTTAAACAAATAGCACACGACCCTGCTGTTCAGTAGATATTATGTACTTGGACAGAGTGTAAAACGTGTGTACATCACTATTTTCAATGTAATGTACAATACCATTTGATGTAACCTGTATTCAGTGTGTGTAATTTTAATTTAGCATTTTAACTAGTATAGAAGCATTTATTATATACTAACATTTATAACAATTTTAGCCTGAAGATGGCGTTGACGCCGAAAATTTGCCCTTACTCCTAACTTCCTTGTTTCACTTGTCCTTGTCTCTTCCAACCGGATAATATCCAGATATCAGTATTTCAATCATGAGACTAATAAACAGCGAACTACTCCGTTATTTGATGTTGATCTATTAACATATAGGTTGCAGCTTTCGCCGCTCCTACTACACACATCTATATAAGACTTTTTTATATACAACTTTTAATAGCCTTCTGCAAAAAATTACATATATCATAGCTTAGCTATAGCAGCCATCAAATGAAACAGATAAGCTTAAGTTATTTAAGAGAGCTCATATAGACTCTTGAATTTTGTACAAATCCGTTTTATTAGTCTCCAGTGCAGTTGGCAGTATGGTGTGAGATGTTTTGTATTCTGATTTTGAGTTTATTTTAAACTTATTCTCTATAATTGTAAGCATAACTTTATTCATTTCAAATCTTCCAAGATTCGAATTTTATTAAAGGTCGACATCTACTTATTAATTTGCTCACTTTTTGTCAGCTTCAAGGATTGAAACCAGTAACTACACTATGAACTTGTAATGAGTAGTAGTAACAAAATCGTATTGAGACATACATGATATAACATCATATGCTTATATAGCAAAGCCCTGGGATATAAGATTGTTAGTCATAAAGGCAACTTAACACTTTTAACATATGATAAACCACCATAGGTACTACAAAATCATGCCCTCATCACCAACAAAATCACAAAGATCAGTCCTTTTTAAGGTAACTGTCCCATCAAGGATAGAAAATATTTATCAAACCAGTGAAAAAAACCAAACAAATTACAACTGATCAACAAGAACCTGGTGGTGTCCGTAGTTCAAAGCGCTGCATAACAAAGACAACAAAGGAAGCAGATAATTCCAGTGACAATGCAATGTATCATGAGTTGAGGAAATCTGATTTAAGGTACAAGATCCAGAGCAAACATAGGTCAGACCGAACCATTCAAGCTGTTGAAACCATTTGTGAGTTTGGAAACATGAAAAGTGATATCAAAGCTGCTCCTAATGTTTTGGAGTCATTGAGGAATTCTTCTCATGGCAGAGTACCCTACAACAGAAAACATGTACTGTCTGAGGTATAGTAATGAAATCCTTATTCTGTTCTGATCAACAGATTTGAAATTTTTTTTTGCAGAAGTCTTTAAAAGATATCTTTGTTGAACTGTAAATGTTGACCAACAAGAAAAAACATGTAACCAATCTTATTTTCAGGAAGAGCTCCCTCCAGTTAATCAGCTTTCTTCAGTCAATAAAAAAGCTATTGATAGAGTGTGTGACCAGTCTCCTGACATACATGCTTATAGATCAAAAACTAGAGGAAGAGTTCCTTTGAGAAGTCCCAAAGAGACAGAAGAAATCATAGAAACGACTTCGTATCTTGACCAATCATTTGAAACTAATCTCAACAAATCACTGGCAGTCATTGAATCACTGGAATCACTTAATGATTCTATGTCCTTACTGGAGATAGAGCAGAAAAACAAGAAAGCTGGTGTGGTAAGCCAATTTCACAATTTCTGATTACGAACTTCATATGTTATAAAATTATTATAAACAAATACATAATCATTTCTTTTTCTTCATCATGTTCTTCTATAATTAGGATTACATTGAACGGGAGAAGAAAAAACAAGATGAATTCTTCAAAAGATCTGCCCAGCTTTCCCAAGAGAGTTATGAACAATGGTCTGAAAGATCGAGAGCAAAAATTCAACAACAAGTAAAGGAGCTGAGAGATCGGAAATCTCAAAAGTATGGCTTCATAATCAAATGAGAGCTATTTTATAAATCTTACCCTTAAATTGGCATACATAATAAGATGTTTAAAAAAGCTGTTTGATGTCTGTTGTAGTCATAGAATAAAAGGGTAAACTTCAGGGACAATTCCATAGAGTCTGAGTACCGAAAACAGCAGGAATTCTTCCAAAAGAAATTTGAAGAGGATCAGGCAAATATCAAAAGGTACATATTATAATCAATACATTTTTTCAGTTTGTATAATTTATATGCTATAGGTTAATTAATAATAATGTACCCCCATCCACTAAAAAAAGGACCAGACTTTACTCAACCTTGATAGAGAACCCAAATCTAACAGATAATTATTGAAAATTTCTAGAGTTGAAGTTGAAGAAGAGGCAGAGAATCAGCGTCAGCTAAGTAGCAGTTGGAACAACATTTCTAACTACGAGCTCAGCACATTAGGTGAGTGGTGGTTTCATACTGGGATCTGGTGCTAATATTTGTTAAGTTACGTTAATCTTAGTGTAATAACATGATTTTACAACTTTAAAATTAGATGTTGATAGACTTCCAATATTTTCAGAAATAGTAACTGTCGCTCAAAAGTGTGTCCCTGATCCAAAAGTGGATCCAGAGATTGAGGCTTTATTGAGTATGATTGACAAACAAAGTAAAGCCATGTCAGCCCTTAAATTGGCTGTTGGACAACTTTACAAGGAAGGCAAACTTAACCCACTGACGTCAACTAAATTTGAGGTTTGTTCGTAGTTTTATGAAAATTAGACAATTGTGTGGAATTGATTCAAGCGGTAATAAACGTATAAAAAGGACAGGCTTACTGATTCCTGTATGCAGATAATTAATAAATCTGTGGAATGTGACAGGGAAATTACATGATTGCAATATGATAACGTGAATGAATGAACTGTGATATTGTTCTTACTGTTATTTCTTCTTTTGCTTAGTATACCTCGTTTTGAACAGAATTAAACCAGAACAAATTATACCATGTTCTAACTATACAGCAAGAGTGCGGAGCAGTCTATGGTCACGTGATAAACGCAGTGAAGCAGCTGAACACTGCCATAAAGAGGGTAAACGAGGAGCAGGCAGCGAAGATGCTAGCTCAGGAGGAAGCGAAGAAGAAAGAGGAGGAAGAGCGAGGGAAGCAGGCACAAGCAGCTGCAGCACAGCAACCACCACCAGAAGCCGTTGTAGCGCAGCAACCACTTGCATCCCAGCAACCTCTACCTCCCCCTGTAGCTACGCAACAGCAACCTTCTGCAGGCCCCGTTCAGTCTAAAGTATCAACAGGTTCAGACCAGATTTCAAGTTTGAAACTTACTATTGTTTTTCTTGATTTAACTATTGAATCGTGTTCACAAGTCACCATTTCTATGTTAGTTTATTTTATTTTTACAGTAAACATTACACTTACATATTTCAGATTCCATAATAAGTGGAAACATCATCAGCAGCACTGCCTTCAGCGAGTATCAGAAAATTGACAAACAACTTAAGGTAAGGTTTAGTGCTACCCAATCTAAGTAAAAATTGAATCCTAACAGATGAAAATATCTTTTATTTACTCTGGAATGTCCGTGTTTTATAATGTTAAATATAGATCTACCGCAGGAGTTGGAACTAGGAATCCAAAAGTTTGTAGTCGACAAGAACACAGACTGTGCTAAGATGAGATCAGCTCTGAAGCTAATAACCGTCACTCCTATCAACAGTATTAGTGCCAGCAGCAACGATCATATGGCTAACAAGGTATTGGGGATCGGTATTGGAGATCGGTATTGGGGATCAGTGGTCCTTGATTAAATGAAATCTGTCTTTAAATTGAGCAGTATGTTATTTGATGAGGCTTAATCTATTTTTGTTGGGGACTGGCCCGTGGTACCAGCCAATGTTTACTCAAAAAAAATATATATATATAATATCAATGATAATAAGAAATTCATCCCCGTGGGGCACATGCATTAATATAAAATGTAAAGGAAATCTCAAACTATTCAATTTAGACTCTACCGGTAAAGTATGCAAGGAAGGTTTGTTGGGTATTTCAATATGACGTCATAGTATCTTAAGTCACCCGAGATGTAATAGTACTTCACTTCACTTTCATAGGCACTTAACTTCATGGATGCTCCATTTTACGCTCTAGTGACAGAACAGGTGCTATAAGTTAAGGAGAGTAATAAGTTTAGGACACATAATGCATTCGGTCAAGACGTCAAGAGGACACGTGATAGTCAAAGGGACCAATCAAAGTATATGCTTAGACGATAGGAGGGAGAATTTAAATACGACCGAACAATTTACGAGGTTCTGAGATCAACAGAAGGGGACGAACATAGCAATTCAATGAGGGGAGGCCGTTACGGATCGAACGATAAATTAACTTAGCACCGATAAGTAGTGTCAGATATTTAGTTGTTTGACGGGACTCCAAGCACGTGACACTTACGACACAAGTCACGAGAATAGCATCGCACTTCAAAACCCAGCTCACAGCATCGACAAGCTCAGTTCATCAAAGGGGGACTATCAGTAAACAAGGGATCAAGGGAACAAATAATAAGGGTACAGGGACCCTAACTGATGAGGCACAACGGGACACAACTGTATCCGGGACTTTAGTACTTGGTTAAGTTACGTTTGTCAGTTAATATTGTACGTTCTTGATCTTCATCTATAATATTACTTGAGAACCCGAGTTTATTCTTAGTTATATAAAATAGTAGGGAAAGAAGTAAATTCTTAGAACGCCAACACTGGAGGCCACGGGACAAGTGATAAGATGGAAGATGAAGAAAATGGGGAACAAAATAGGGATGCACGACCGGATCGGGTGCAAGTGAATGAGGGTGATTTAAGAAGGTTAGAGCAGACCTTAGAACTGTTCAAACAGAGAAACAAAGAGTTTGCTATGGAAAACGAAAAAGTAAAGGGAGAAAATAGAAATTTACTGGAATACGCAGAGAGATGTAAAGTTGAGGGAGAGAAAAGTACTTTGCAGGCACGTGAAGAGGGATTTACTCGAGCGGTGAACTTAAACAGGGACCGGATAAATGCGAGGAATATTCCATACAGGAAACCTGAAATATACAAAACGGGGGAAAATTTCAAAAGGTGGCTAAAATCGTTCAAAATATTTGCCGAAACTGCACAAATTCCTAGGGAGTACAGGATAAATACATTAATTACATTCCTAGATGCAACAGCGCAAATGAAAGTAGAGACGCTGGATTTGAATGATGAAAAGAAAAGGGAACCAGATGAGTGCTATGAACAAATTTCTAGGGCAATAGAAGGGACAACACTCAAAAACGAGTGCAGAGCTAGACTGTTTAAACTTAAACAGGGTACACACGAAACAGTTACGGATTTCGCTACTAAACTAACGGATCTAGCAGAGAGGGTCTATGACAATGATAACTCTCAAATTAAGGGACAAATAATGCTAGACTGCTTTGTAGCAGGGTTGAAATCGGATAGACTGGCATACGACTTGATCAAGGAGGACTGAGGAGTTTGATACTTTCCAAACAGCCTACCAGAGAGCATTAGATCTCGAATCAATTTATGCTTTGAGGGATAAAAACAGGGGAGACGAAGAAGGGGACAGTCTCTTTCAAATAAAAGAGGGGATGAATGTGAGTTGTCACATTTGCGGTAAAAAGGGTCACATGTGGAAGTTCTGTAATAGACTGAACTGCTACAAATGTGGACAGCTGGGACATGTATCTGAAATGTGCCAGACGGGACAAAATAAGGCTGACAGGGCTGGCCCGAGCAGACAAGGACAGCGGGTTCTTGAATGTTGGAACTGTGGAAAAAAGGGTCATTTTGCAAGGGAGTGTAGATCGAGGAATTTCAATACACAAGCTGCCAGAGTACCAAGGGTCGGACAAAGAATGGGAAATGTTACGCAACTAACCAGGGAAATGCAGAACAACTACGTACCTCCACCGAACACGGGAAGAATACAAAATGGAAACAACTACCAGCCATCAGTAAACGTGATGCAGGACAAGACCAACTGGAACCCAAGACAGGTAAAATGGGCTGAACAAAGATTTCTCCGGGATGAAAACAAGGGTAATTTAAACTATTAGACGCTTCCAACAATTTTACGGGGACTAGGGAAGGGGTTTATTCAAAAAATATTTTAAAAAGTGACATACCAAAACCAATGTTGGAAGCTAAAATAGGGTTATGTGGAGGCAACATTTACTCCAAAATTGTAATTGAAGGGAAATTAAAGCTCGCGATGATTGATACAGGAGCAAATAGAAATATTTTAAATTATGATTTATACAAAAAATTGGGAAACTACTCATTAAGGGAACATGACACTAGTTTGTCAACTGCCACAGGGGAACCGATTAAAATTTACGGGAAAATAGACAATCTGAAAATAAATATCGGGGGAAAAGATTGTATAGTTGAAGTCACTGTTTGTGATATCACAGAAGATCTAATTCTGGGGAATAATTTCTTTGAAAAACAGGAGATCGTACTAGATTATAGAAACTTGATGATGTACGGGAACGGTCTTGATGCAACACTATATAAAACAAGTACAGGGGGAAGGATTGCTGGTATTAAAAATGTCAGTGCCAAAGTGCTTGACAGAAAGGGGATTATCACGTGTCAAATAGATAACTCAGAGTTCAATTATCCGGGGACGTATGCATATTATCCAAACTGTGAGATATGGGGAAATGAAACAAATCCTGTTCTAGTCAATGTACTGGACGAGTTTCTAGAGCTGAAAATCGATAATAAAAACGGGGATGAGACCCAATTATTGATTCCAAAAGGGGAAATAGTTGGGACAATCAAAGAGATAACGCCGGGGGAAATAAAAAAGGACATCGAAACATGGAACTTAACTCCTGAGCAAAGGTTAGAAATCATATTGCAGCAAACCAAAATTATGGATAATCCTCACATAAATGAAGCTGAAAAACGGAAAGTTTTGAAATTGCTGGGTGAATTTCATGACATTTTCAGCTTATCTAAGAAGGAAATATCTTTTACTCACGTTTATAAACACAAGATCCGTCTTACTACCGACAAAGTTATACAAACGGCACATAGACCTTTACCACTGCACCACGTTGAGGCAGTAACGGAAATGGTCAATGAAATGGAAGAAATGGGGATAATAGAGAAGTCTACGTCACAATACCGAAACCCAATTTTACTTGTGAGAAAAAAGAATTCTGACGGGACAAAAACAGGGGGTTTGAGATTTGTGACGGATTTTAGGATCTTAAATGGATTCTCAGAGAATTTCTTGTATCCAATGCCTTCAATTGAGGAAACTAGGGCATTATGTAGCAGGGGAAATTATTTTTCGACATTTGATCTCAAGGCTGCATACCATCAAATCGAGTTGGCCGATGAGGAAAGCAAAGAAGCCACAAATTTTTGGCTAGCTGGGCAAGGGAGTTATAGATATAGGGTCGTTCCAATGGGTCATAAACAGAGTGCTGGGGCTCTACAGTTGTTAACCGATATAACGATGAAATACCTGAAGAACAAAATACTCGTTTCATATCACGATGATATCTTAATACCAGCGGAGGACGTAGACGACATGATAGATCGCCTGAGGGTAATGTTTGAAAGGTTAAGATATGCAAACATCAAAATACAAGCTACGAAAAGTCAAATCTTACAAACAAAAGTTTTATTCCTGGGTTGTTGGCTTACTAAACACGGTATCCAGGCCAATATGGACAAAATACAAGACCTTTTGAAAATAAAGGTACCGGAATCAAAAAAGGGATTGCAACATTTTCTGGGTTTAGCGGGTTATTTTCGACATTTTATCAAAAACTTTGCAGAAATAGCAGCTCCACTTACGGACTGTTTAAAGGGGACGTTTAAAATGACAACGAAAGCAGTAGAAAGTTTCGAAAAACTTAAAACTGCTCTTAGCACGCCTCCTGTTTTAGGCTGGCCTTCAAAAGATAACATTTTCAAATTACATTGCGATAGTAGTGCACACACGATAGCAGGGGTTTTGTCACAAGGGGACGATAAGGAAGAGGTAGTAATTGCGTACGGGAGTAGAAGATTGAATGAAAGCCAAATGAGGTACAGTACTTGGCAACGGGAACTATTAGCTATTCATTTTTTCTGTGTGAGGTTTAGATACTACCTACAGGGAGCAAATTATTTCAAGATCTTCACAGACCACAAGGGACTAAGCTTTTCAAAGTTCATAAAAAAAACAACTATAAACACGGTTCTATCATGGTGTCTAGAGTTGTCAGAATTTAACTTTGAAATATTCTATATAAAGGGGAAAGACAATATAGTAAGTGACGCACTATCCAGATGTGAAGTTATGGACGGGAAAGAAATGTACAATTTCTACCGAAAACAATTTTATGGAGAGGAAAGTATAGACAGTATAAACAGTATAAAAAATGGGGAAATACATGAAAAAGTCACTATGTTAGAAGACGACTCATTCTTAAGGGGACAAGAGGATGACAAGGACATACAACAAGTCTTAAAATGGTTAAAAGAGGGGACTAAAGAACAGACGCCAGCTAAGCTGCCGATTGACTTACGAATTTACCATTCAAATTTGGATAATTTGTTTGTCAATGAACAAGGGATATTAAGCAAAAAACATTTCTTTAAAAAGATTCAAACTTCACGGGATTTATTGTGCATACCACAGAACAAAGTGGATGAATACATTAGATTGCACCATGAAGTTGCATGCCAGCACTTGGGATATG